GATTTCTGGGGAGGTGGGTGGCGGGGGGGGGGGTGACAGGATGCACGGCGGCGATGTGGGACAGCAGTGCAGCTGCAGCTTGGGCCACGGCGCTCACGAGCACGGCTCCCTCCCTCGCTGCTGGAGATCCTAGCGCACACACGTGAGCTGCTGGCCACGGGATGCCCATCTCCATGGAGACCGGCTCTCCCATCTCCACTTCCTGCCCGTTTGCCGTGGCTCCCCTCGGGAGCGCGAGGGAACAACATCCATCAGAGCTGCGGCTGGGCAGAGAAACGCCGCAGCACTCACGGCCCAGCCCCCAGGCTGCCCTCCCCGAACCCCCAGGACCCTGCCCCTTCCCTCCGCAGCCTGGTGGGACCCTGGCCCACGCCCACGCCCCGCCACCCTTCCTCCCTTCTCCCTGTGGGCCGGCGGCATCTCGTGCCAAAGCCTTGGGCTCTGGCCCTTCCCACTCACGTGCTGCTGAATCATTTGAAAAAAATGCATCCCGATCCCGGGAGGATTTACTGAGAACAGTGCGGCTTTGTGGAGGGAAGTGCTGCGCTGCACCGTCTCCGCCAAGGCCAGGAGGAGCCAAGCACAGCCCTGCACACCCCCAGGCGGAGCGGGGGCAGGGGCAGAGGGAGCTCGGAGAGGGACCCCGCCCCGGGCTGAGAAGGGGCCACAGCTCGGAAGCCAGAGGGACAGATGACCCTATCATGCTGTCGCTGGCAGGGCCGTGTGACGGTGGGTCACTGTTCCTCTCCAGGCTGGCTTGTTTTCAGGAAGAAACACACAAGGGCTGGGCTGTGCTGCAGGCCCATCAGCACGGACCGTCGGGGTCCTGGCCTGTGCGTGGGCCCTAAGGCATGTGGCCTGTGGGCTGAACCCAGCTCGCTGAAATTCTCGGGAGACAGAAACAGTGACGTGAAGGCTGGAGCCCAGGCCCACGCTTCCCGGCTCCGAGGTAGGGAGAACTGAGGCTGGGGACGGCTCGTGTCCCCACTCCTCCTTAGCGCAGCCTTGCAAACAAGCCCGTGAGCTGGTCATGGGGGTGGTGTGCAGCCCCGTCTCCGGCCAAGGAACTTGGCCTGGGCTGTCACGGCAGCCGCCACCGAAGGCTACACATCAGCCCTCCGTCCCATTACAGAGGGCTGGGCAGAGGCCACATGCCAGCCGCGTCTTTTCCCAAGTCTTGACATAACGTCGTTGCACTGACAATGACTGCAGGCCACAGAGGGTCCCATTCCCCCATCATCTTACACGCCTGAGGTCCATGTCTGAGGTCCCGCCACCCTGGGCTGGGCAGGGAAGGGAGAGACGTGAGGAGAGAAGACTGACCCCAGGGCAGCTCCCAGGTGACGTCCAGACCGCCCAGCCCGGTGGGGGGCTGGGGAGCCGCCATCAAGGGGCAAACCCTGTTCCTGCTCCCCTTGTCCTGGCACCTCTCAGACAGCCTGGCGTGTCCCCACCCTCTGGACAGCTGACCTTGGCAGCATGCACTGCCAACGCTGCTGTTCCCCCTGCAAACCTCGTGGGCAAACAGCATGACCCGCCCACACTGGGGCAGCCACGAGGCCTTCCTGAGTCCCTGTGGTTTGGGGAGAAGGACCCACAGGGCAGGGATGCAAGGAAGGTTCTAGCAAATGCAGAGTGAGGCAGGGAACAGGGAAGCTCTCCTCCAAATGTGAGGGTGTAAGCACAAAACCAGTGGAAAGCTCTAGAAGACAAGTGTTCAGAGAGGGAGAAGCTGCAGGGAGGCCCTGGAAGTGCGTTAGGAGGATGGAGGTAACAGGGCTGCCATGCCGGGGTCCTCGCCGCCGCCTGGCTTGGCAGCGTCCTGTGGAAACCCTCTGGGAGCCCCTGGCCCTTCCAAGTGGCACCGTTTCCCGTCTTAAGAGTCAAACGGAGGCCAGGCACGGCGGCTTGCCCGGCTCGGGCTGGATCCAGGCTGGGCCCCTAGCCCGCCAGCATAGCGTACGTGGTGCCTGGTACTCCAGGGAGGATTTAGGGTCACAGGGCAGGCAGGAGCAGGGGCCGGGGAGTGTCCCCACCTCCGTGCACTTGCGTCAGGAATGAAGGTGGTGGAGAGACAGACACTCGAACCAGGGTAAGAGGGGCAGGAGGTGGACAGCCAGGGCTCGGGAGGAAGTGCAGAGACCGACACCTCGCCCAGGTCACCGAGCCATTGTCAGGGCTGCGGCCCAAACCCCTGCCGCAGAGTCTGTGCCGGCTCCTGGGGGAGGCTGCCGTGGGGGCTGCTGGGACCCCCCAGGCCCTGGGGGTGGTGATGGAGAGTCACCTGTGACGTCTCCACGGAATCACTGGAGAACCATCCTCTTTGGTGGGGGGATACCCCTGAGGGCCGTTTTACTGCCCACACCGCCAGCCCGGGCAGAGCAGCAGCCTCCCCCGCCCTTTGGCCTTTAGGGGCAGGTGGGAAGGGCAGGGTGTTTTGTCCTGCTGCCAGGGGACAGTGTAGGTGTGACTGTCCGGGAAGAGATGAGTCACCACCCCGTCTCGCTGCCCATCGCCCCACCTAGTTTTAGCTCAAGTGTGGCCAAGAACGGGCGACTCCTCACCTAGAACACATGTGCTGCAAACGCTACCTTTGAAAATGGAAACAAAAATAACCCCCTCTGAGAAAGGCCAGTCTACTCGTTAGACTGTGGCGTCCAGGGTACGGCAAGAAGACCTCGGTCACTCGATGTCTGGGTCCCGTGGTGGCCATGGCTTCACCCCAGTGACCCTGCAACACCTCTCTGCCTTCTCGGACAGAGGCAATGCCGCGGTAACAGGCGGCCACCTTCCACCAGGTCTTCGTGTGACTCCAAGCGCAGAGTACGGCGAACAGCCAGGTGCAGGCGGGTGCAGCCCCCGCGGGAACGTCGCTGGTGCAGGGGTGACAGCAGCCCCCCTGATCCCTGCGTTTCCTTCTTCACTGTGCTGGGCTTAGATCAAATTGTTGAGTAGCTCTGCAACCCTAACCTGACATCCCAGGAGCAGGGGACAGAAAGAAACCAGGCTGCGGTCACCTTTACTCAACTTAAAGTGGAAAAGCCACAGATAGACAGAGACCCACAGGATGACGGACATGTGAGATGTGGAAGGTTCCTCACTCAAGCTACTAATGGTTAAAGAACCAAAAGGCAAAAGCAAAACATTGTGTGGGATCCCACCCAAACGCGCACAACACTTCCGGGTCCCGTGAGCTGGGTGTTCTCGGAGACGCGCACACTGGGTCGGTGCCTGACACCTCCCTGCCTCTCCCCTTCTAGAACTTTCTTATTTATTACCCGTGTCCACCACCAGAGTGTGAGTCTGGTGGTTCTTCGGTGTTGTTTGTTCACTGTTTATCGCTAGTGGCTGGGACGGCATCTGACACTCAGTGCTTGTAAGTAGAAACGAGAGCAGGCCGACCTCTCCCAGGGGACAAAGGGGAAACTGAGAAGTAACGGACAGGATCCTCCCACACCTACCTCCGGCTGTGGCATCCAGGACTTCCCAGAGCACGTTCTGACACCCGGCATTTGACCAGATGCATAGGGACACGGTCCTCTGTTCCAGAACAGGCACAGAAAAGCGCCGGTCCTGGAGAGAGGCTCCGATGGTCCCACGGTATCACGCCGGAGTGAAAATGAGCAAGTGACCCCCTCGTATGACAGGGGTGCGAGCCAGCAGCTACGCTGAGACCAAAAAACGCTTCCCAAAGATAACACATACTATCCTTTCTATAAAGTCCAAAAGCTACGATGCTCAGCGCACGTACATGTGGTGAAACAGGGACACCCCCATGTCCAGCAGGTATACACCTGAGGAGGAGGCAGGGGTATGCAAGGGAAGCAGCACAGAGGAAGAGGAGGGTTTCCAGCCAATATTCTGGACCTTGGGTTTGGCTGGTGGGCTCACGGTTGTTTATTACACTGCCTACAAAATATGCATAAGAAAGGCCATTCGTGGACCAACGAGTCCAAAATGTCTGGCCAAAGAGGGCTGATCCACGTCAATGTATCTGAGTCCTCAGAGGGAGGGGACGGAGGCTTCGAACTGTCCTAGCCCAGGGGTCAGCCAACTGTGGCCCGAGGGCCAGATCCAGCCCATCCACCTAATTTTGTAAATAAGGTCTAACCGGAACTTGGCCACTGCCGTTCATTTATGTATGTTAACGGCTGCTTTCCAGCCACCGTAGAGTTGACAGGCGCCACCAAGACTGATGGTGGGCAAAGGTGAAGGTATTTACTCCCTGGCTCTTTGCAGAAAAAGCATGCCCGCCCGTCCCAGTCCCCAAGTCTGCAATTTGCAGGAAAAAATCCTACCCCGTGTGGGGTTTCCCTGGCTGCCACAGCTGCTGGGCCAGAGGCAAAGGTGGGGGACGGGAAACTGACCAAACACCCCGGACCCTGCTCTTGCCAGCCCTGCCCTGGCCACCCGGCAGGGCGAGGGGTGCCTTTCTCCTCTCTCCTGTCCTCCTTCTCTCTCTCAAATTAAAGTTACAAGAATGTGTTAAGTGACGTGCTATTAAATGACACTGGCTTTGTCACTCTGAGACATCGAGAGAGGTTTTAGCTTTAGTTCAATCTCCCTGTGAACGTCCCAGCCAGTGGCTAAGCGACGAGTGATGTACCTTTAGAAACTGTGCCTGTCTGACCTGCTACGCCCCTCGATGCCCAGTGTTTATGCGGCTAAAACACCTGAAGGGCCCGCTTTACCCTGAGTCTCTGGCTGTGCCTCTGGCGCGTGGAGACAGACTTAGCAGTCGCATCGGTGGCACTCAGGAGAGACCCGCTTACCGGCCCCCCCGCCCCCCCGCCGCGGGCTCCTGTTTTTGTGCAAAGGAGGTTCCCAAGTGGGACGTGGCTCACGAGGGAAGAGGAGGGAAGGGGTCGCTGTAAGGGAACCCGCCTGGAGGGTGGTACAAGGACAGATCACCAGGTGCACAGAGGCGACGCAAAACACACGTCTCAGAGGCGCCAGTTCCGAGAGAACAGCCATCGGCGGTGTATTTACCACGGCCGGCCTCACGCGTCGCCCTCGTCCTGAAACTCGCGCAGGCGTTTCCTGGCTTCTTCAAGAAACTCCTTGTGCAACTTGCTTTGCTCTGAAATCTGCTGCTGGAGGTCACAGATCATCTGACTGTGCCAGTCCTCTTCGGTGACGCTGAGCCCAGGTCCTCTTTTCGCGTCCCGGCCTTGCGAGGGGTAGGACCTCAGAAGGGCGAGGCGGGCTCTTCTCCGCTCCCGCCTCTCCTTCTCTAACTCGGCCATGTAGTGGATCTCCAAGCTCATATTCGGGTGTTCCGGCTGCTCCAGCAGTTCCAGCTGCCGTGGCCTCCTCCACTCCGCCTCTGCCTCCTGCTTCTGCCTCGAGGCCGTGGAGCCCGCCCTGCCTGCCTGGTCCTGCGGGTGGAGCTGGAGAAGCCCCGCCCTGGGGGACTGCGGTCCCCACTCGGTGCCGCAGGGGAGCGCGTCCTCTTCGTCGATCAGTATCCCTGCCTCGGGACACGGTGTCTGGCTTTCATTCCTAAACGCGGGGCCGGCTGCCTGGCGGTATTTTCGGTTCTCGATCTTGCTCAGGAACGTTTCCAAATTGGTTGTGGACGCCGTCCGGTGGGCCTCCGCCCCTGCCGGGCTACCGGACTCCCCGGCGGGCATCGTTTCCGCATCTGCTGCTTTCTTCTCTCTCGGGATCTCGCTACCGCCTTCTTGCGACTCCGAGACAGCCTGTTCTTCATCAGGGTTCTGGGCCGCCCTGGGCCTCGGTTCGAGGTGCAAGCGCAGGTGTTTTTTCAGCTGTCTGTTTGTATGGAACAGCTCTTCAAAGGTCAATTCCAGCTCTTTCTGCCACTTGCTCTTGTCATCGCATGTGCACTGGGGCGCCTGGGCTCCCCTTCTGCAGGCGCAGTCGGCCAGCCAGTGCCGCTGCCCGGCTCTCGGTTTGCCCTCCGGACTCAGATTGCGAGGGCTGCGGGCCAAGCCCCGGACCAAGCAAGCCGTGCCCTTCTCCTGCTGCTTCCTCCCCTCCTGGGAGGTTTCTGTCTCTTTTTTCTCCACACGCTTGATTTCCCCTGCAGGGGCCAAGAGCAGGTCCATCCTTCTGCTCCCCCGAGAGTTGACAGGACAGCGGCCACCCCCAGTCTTGGTCCAAGACACTCGCTTTCCCTTGCTCTTCTCAGGGGGGCTCGGGGGAGGGTGCGCCTGGCCCGGGGCTTTTGTAGCTCCCTGCTTCTCCGTGCCCACCGCCACCCTCCAGGCCCTGGGGTGCCAGGCGTGCCAGCCCGGCTCTTCCTTGAGGCTCTTCTCTTCTCTGAGGGCTGCTTTGTGCCTCTCCTTGGCCTTCGGGGGCCTCGCTGCTCCCTGCTGCGGGGGCTCGTCCTGGTCGGGCTCTCTGTCCTCCGCGCGTCGTCCCCCCGCAGCTAACAGGTAGGCGTGCCGGTGCTGAGCCTCCCGCCACGCAGCCCTCAGCTCCTCGGCCAAGCACTGGAGCCGGCAGCACCTCCACAGTCTGGCATCTGGTCTTCTCTGCAGAGCCACATCTTGTTTTTCTCTGACCTGCAGCGATTTGCACTTCTGCCCCAAATGCAAGGCCTCGTCTTCAGGACTGGGGCTCCGCCGAGCGGCCCTCTCCATGTTTCTGCTCATCTCTGAGAACTCGACAGACACGACTGCGAGGGACGGTGGCTGGAGCCAACAGCAGAGGGTTCAAGGGGCCCCGGGACTGAGGAGCCGCAGATGCCAGGACCGTACCGCAGCAAACCTGCAAGGACGGGAGGACAAATACCGCTCCCTGCAGCGTTCCAGGATGGTGAGCAAGGGAGGGCCTGAGACAAGGACACGTGGATTCTCAGCATGGGGACGGACCCTAAAACGCAACCCTCCAGACCCCTGTACCCCATGCTCTGTCTTGCAACCCTTTGACAAGAGCCTGTAGGACAAATATTTTCAACGGGGCGTGGTTTTGCTTCCCAGGGGACATTTGGCAACGTCTGAACTAGAGGGACGAGTGCTACTGGCTTGTAGGTGGCTGGAGGCCAGGGATGCTGCTAAACCTCCCATAAGGCATCCTGTGACAAAGAGTGACCTGGCCCCAAACGTCAACGGTGCTGAGACAGAGAACCGCCTCCTCAGGAAGCCTATGGCAGGGTTCAGGTGGGGGTGGGAGGACACAGATGGTAGCACCTGAGAGCAAATTTGGGGACAAGCAAGGGGGAAGTAAAAGTCCAGCCCTCCGGAGGGAGAAATGCTTACGATGAAAGGCAGGAGGGGACTGCCGGGCCGGTGCGTGTGCGTGTCTGTGCACGTGTGTACAAGCGTGCTGCCTCTGTGTGCAGGGGCGTGTGTGCGCATGTACCTGAGTGCATGCATGTCTGGTACTTAAATCCAACACAGACCAGAGAGGAGGAGAGGCTGGTGTGAGCTCCCTTCACGTGGCTGCCAACCCTTTCCTCGTGTAGTTGCCAGAGGAGGGCTCCCGCAGGTCTCTCTGGCGTCGGGAAGGGATCCGCGCTTGCTCAGGCCTTTCGGGGGCAGGAGGTGTGTTTACGCGGGAGGGGTATGGACTTACGTCTGCTGCCACTGCAGCCGGGAACTGCTAAAGGGCAGCTGTAGTGGACATGGGTGCCCTCACTGCCCGTTCCCTTCTCTGTTCTAGTCTATGTGGATCCAGGCTGAGAAAACTGAACCCAAAGTAGCTGCAGTGGTCAGAAAATTGTACCGCATCTATACTGCAGCTCACATGAGCTGTGCAGGACCCCTCTGAGCGCTTGACCCTCACTAGTTCATTTTTTTTTTTTTCAGTAACTCTATGAGCTAAGGAGCTATTATCACTCCTGGTTCACAGATGGGGAAACTGAGGCAGAGACGGATGAAGACACTTGACCCGATCACACGGTTGGCAAGCAGCAGAGACAGCCGTCCGCAGCCTGGGTAAACCACACGGCATCCGGCTCTGACTTCCGTCCTCTCCCATGGGCCCCGCACCTCTCGGTGACCCAGGCCCTACACTTGGAACCCCGTGTGGGAACCTAGAACCGCGGTTGGTGCTGTGCTCTACCAGTCCACCAACCACCATGGTGCGCAAGAGGGGAGACAGAGGGGAAAGGCGGGCGATGAAGCACAGCGATGATGACTTTTGACACAATCGCCACGGCAATTCAATGCGGGAAAGAATAGTTGTTTTTTTGTTTTTCAACAAATGATGCTGGGGACAGTTGGACCTCCACATGCAAGAACAGAGGAATCCAGAGCCTCACCTCACACCATATACACAAGGGATTACAGACCTCAACGCAGGGTCTAAAACTATAAATGCTTAGAAGGAAATACAGGCGTACATTCCCGACCGTGGGTTACGCAAAGATTTCTTAGATACGACGCCAAACATGCAAGTAATAAGAGAAGACACTGATAACGTGAACACCACCAAAATTAAAAAGCCTTTGTGCTTCAAATGACACCACCAGTAAAAGTGAAAATACAAGGTGCAGACTGGAAGGAAATATTTGCAAATCATATACCCAACCAAAGACCTGAACCCAGAACACACAACTCTCACCACTCAACAGGAAGCCAAATAATCCTGTCTAAAAATCAGTGAAAGATTCAGACAGATGTTTCCCCAAAGATGACAGATGTATGGCTCATGCAGCACACAAGACGGTGTTCGGCATCTAGTCACCAGGGAAGTGAGAACTGGAGCTACCGTGAGCCACACTGCACACCCACTGCGATGGCATTAACCGAAAAGACAGACGATACCAGCTGTTGGCGAGGAGGTGGAGAAATTGGAAGCCGTGCGCGCTGCCGGTGGGATGCAAAATGGTGCGGCTGCCTTGGAAAACAGCCTGGCGGTTCCTCAAATCATTAAACAGTTACCATGTGACCCAGTGATTCCACTCCCCGGTCTACACCCAGGAGAAATGAAAGCACATGTCCACCGACAGACGTGAAAGCTCTCAGAGGTTGAATTATCTTTCCCAGCTCACAGGGTTTGAACCTCGGTCTCAGACGCCAAGGCTGAGCTTCTCCCACCCAGTGCTGGGTGTCCAAACAGGTGGAGAGATGTCTGGGCTGCTGTGAATGTCCCTTTGTCTGTCCTGGACACCTGGAGAGAGCGGGGCTAACAGTGCCCAAGGTCCAAAGCCTGTTTCTGCGCCTGGAGCCACTGGCTCACAGCCCCCCTTTATTAACAGCCTCGCACTCTGGAAGTGCCCCCAGCTCTTTTGCGATTCTGATGGTCCCACTGCACCCTGTGCCAGGCCCACAGAGGGGGGACCCCAATGCTGCAGAGTTGGTTTTCCTGGAGGCCTGTGAACAGAGGAAACCTTAAAACATCTGGGGAGAGATCTCTGGGATGAAGTTCACAAAATCACAGTGAGCTCCAGAGTTGAGGAAGTGACGGCCCCACGACGTCACATGCGGCCTTGCCCCTGCCACGCCCAGCCCCCTTGCTCTCTGCTCCGCGCCCGGACCCACTTGCTAACTTGAGGCCAGCGGGCAGGGTCTCACCTGGACCCGGGCAAGCGCTCGCAAGGAACGCAGCTGAAGTTCTAGCTACCAGCCAGGGATAAACGCCCGTTCGCCTGGTGCGTGGCCCGCTGGGACGTCCTGCCCGTCCTCTGGTCAGCCGAAGGTCTCTCCAGCCCTGCGAGACAGGGTGCCCTTGGCAGAACCTTTGTCAAGGAAGAGAGGCACGACTCTGATTGGGGCCCACACTACAGCGCCCCTCTCCAGAGACACCCACCCTGTCCGTTCCCCGGGCAGAACGCCCCAGACTGGGCTGGGGGCTCAGTGCTCCTTTGTCCCTCTGGCCATCCTGGGGTTCTCGCTCCGGCGACCCCCCCATGCTGCCACGGCCCCCGGAGCTGATAGGCTGCCCACAGCCACTCAGGGAAACCACAGCCCCTTCCCCGCAGAAGCTGTGCCCACAGCAGCAGACAGGAAGGCGGAGGGGACACCTCCTGGCCTCCAGACAGCACCAGAGCCTCCCCCAGACCGGAGCAGACACTGGGCCCGTTCTCCCCTCTCGCGCCCCGCGGCCCCAGTGCACGGAGCCAGCCATGGCGGCCGCTCCCAGGCAGCTCCTGGACAGCTCTTCAGCAGAGGCGGACCCCCGCGCCCTGCCCTGAGGGGAGCTCTGCGTACAGGGCAGGGAAGCACCCGGGCCCACGAGCCCCCAGGCCTCTTCCAGTGGGGAATGACAAGTGTCACAATCAGAGGCCACGTGAGGCGCCCAGCGCAGAGGCTCCGCTGTCAGAGAGGCCTGGGTCCCAGTTGCAGGATGTAGGGTCCTGCGGTTCACCTGGGTCACCTCTGTCTCCCCCATCTGTGCAAGAGGCACGATGCCACCCACTCAGGTCTGCTGGGGTGTGACACGATGTGAACACATCCACCCGTCCAAGGCGCCTGCCCACCCCAGTTCCTGCCAGGAGGGCAGTCGCACAGCTGATCAGCGGGTCGTGACAAAGACTCAGGCCCTCCCGCTGCTGGGGTTTGCTGTGACGAGGCTGCCCGATGCCCCCAGGCACCAGCACTGGCACGGGGTGAAATTCGCCCACCGTGGGTGACCCTCGTGTGACACTTAGCCTGTACACATGGACACCCAAAAATCAATACACCAGATGCCACATCCCTAAGAGAACACACTGTGCCCAGACACAGGGGACAACAGTGAGCCTGGCCACGCCCAGGGACGACAGCAGGACGCGAACCATCTCCCTCCTTCCGATGGCGGACCTGTCTGATTTCACACTGTTCCAGCACTTCACACACACCTTCCCACACCATCTCCTGATCGCACCGCAGGAGGTGAGGTCTGCTCCTATCCCCACTTGCTGATGAGGAAACCGAGACTCAAAGAGGTTAAGTAACTTGCCTAAGGCCACACACCTCATGAGCGGCGCAGCAAGGATTCGAAGCCAAGAGGGCTGACCTCTGATCCCAGGATCCCAACCTGCCACTGAGGGAGGTCAGAGCTGGAAGCCACTTCCACGGCACGAGTGGACCTGTCCTGGGCCCCACCTGACACCTGACTAGCCGTGACCCTGAGAGGCGTCTGAGCTTCCACGGACGCTAAGGCCTGGGACAAGCTTGGTGCTTTCTGTGCGCATCTACCTGGGACACCGCGGCGCCGAGTCCATCAGTGGACCCTCCTCCTTTCCATCCAAGTATTTTATTCCTTGACGTGCATCCCGGGGTGAGACCTAGCCCGGTGCTTCCTGAATCTCATCAAAACTCAGGCAAGATTCAGCAAGTCTGGGTGGGGCCCGAGACTCTGCATCCCGAAGGAGCCGTGGGGACCGCACGAGTGGTGAGGCCTAGCAAAGGTGTCTCTGCCAAGAAGCCGCGCCTTGCTCCCAAGGCGTCTCTGCCAAGAAGCCGCGCCTTGCTCCAGCCTCCTGCCGCGATGGTAGCTGAGCCCCGGTCATCTCTCACCCGAGCCTCTTGGAAGCCTCCTAATCAGCCTCTCTGCCCCCCACCCCGTGCCTGCTGCACCCCCTCCTCCCCCGTACCAGCCACAGCCAGTGGGGCCCAGAGGCCCTGGGCCAGTCTCCCAGCGCAGTCCCCGGCCCCACGCATCACAGCTGCCCAAGCTGCCAGTTAAGACGCAGATTCCCAGGCCCCGCCCGGAC